GCTCAGATCACTGAAGGCCAAGCTCAAGAGATTGGTCTATATTTGGTATGAAATGGGAGTCTGGCTGCAGCATTCATGCCCTTGACCACTAATTGCACAGTCTGCTGCTCCAGGTGAGAGCAGAGAGAGAGGCCCAGGGAGGAGGCCACATCAGAGGGTAGCTGAGTCTGAAGGGCTTGAAATAACATGATTAAGGGAGAATCATGGTGCAGGGAGATGATCGTGAGGACCATGACACATCACATAGACAGGACTAAGAAACTAGTTTTCTTTCACATAATGAGAAAATGAGAAAGAGGATTCAGATGTGGCCCACTTTGTCTCTGGGAGGAAGACAGTTAAGGGGATTCCTGGGTGAAGGCAGCACAGCACAGAGTGATCCAAGAGAATGAACGCTGTCATGCGGCAGACCCTCGGGTAATGGATAAACTAATACTTGTGCAGTATTAGTTTATCCATAAACAAAAGTAAAGATTCGTAGGGTTATTTCAGATTGAATTGAAATATAATGCTCCTCAAAGTGGCTAGATCACAGGAGGCACTCAATAAACATTCATTTCCCTTCCTGCTGAGAAGGTAGTGAGCATAGATGAGAGGAGGGCAAGATGAAGGGTGGAGGAGGAAGATGCTGCCACAGAGAGTTTACCTCTCCGATCTGGCCAAAGTTTCTCTGTTTTTAGAAACTCCACAGGGGACTTGCAGGGAAGGTGAAAGTTGAGAAGCAGAGACTGAGGTCTGAGTTAGCCTAAGGCAATCCTGGACTCCCATTTGCATGGTCAGGGAAAGTAGGGAAGAAGAGAGAAGAGAAGATGGTTGGAGAGAAAAGGAAGCTTCCTTGGCCCTGAGATGGAGCTGACATTCTGACTTCAGGGCTCACCGTGAAGGAATGTTAAATAAGAGAATGATGCCTGTGTGGAGAGTTCCTTTACAAATAACCAGCCAACACCTGGGAAATGTCATTGGACACATGCTACAAAGTGACTTTGTGACTAATCTGGGCTATGAACTTAAAATTTAGATCAGGAGGGTTGATGGAGTTTAAACCTTTAAGGAAGCTCTGGAGCCTCATTCCACGAGGAATGAGGAAGAGAGAGGGAGTCCTTCCTTAATACACTTTGCTGCTGAGCCAGGTGCCATTTTAGTTACTGGGCTGAGGAAGAGTCAAAGCAGGCACCAGGAAGAAGCATCACAGAACTGATGAGATTAGATCAGTTCTGCAGCTGGATTCCCAGGGAAATAAGATAACCTGCAAAAGATCTGAACCTACAAACTATTCCTCCCAGATTGCTGAAATGGCTTATCTACGGAGAAAAAAGGACAAAGGAAATGATTACTCAAAAATAGGGAATGTTATGAACTTTCCAAAAAATAATTAGAAGGCAAAAGAAGGGGAAAATTCCTTAGAGAAAAAGCCAGATAAAGTTTATAGGGAATCATTTCCCTGCTAAATAAAAGGGTCACCTCAGAAAGATACCTCAGAAACATTAATCAAGGTTTATTGAAGCTTCTGAGAGACTAAATAGAATTTTTTTAAATGCCTATAACACTGGGCCTGAGCTACTTCAGGTTATAAAACAGCAGAAGTGTTAGTCAGCCACCACTTCACACTCTTCTTCTGGATGAAGCCTTCATCTCCTGAGATAGCCTCTGCCTTATAAATACCCATGGTTACACCTCATTCTAGGGCCCACAACTCTTCATTCTTGGTTGTTTCTTCCTGGTCAATATGGAATATGTAGACACGCTTTGTCCTTAGATAAGAAACTCTTGTGATTTGAACCAGCCACCACAGACCTTGGGCTGTGTGTCTGCAGCTGATGACTCTAGCTCACCAGTACAAGAGCCATTCTCAAAGTGTGGTCCCTGAGACACTTTCCTGGTACTCGAAAGATCTTCCCTTTTCCAACTAGGTATTGATGTGAAACAAGATTTTCTTTATACATTTCAATCAAAAGTACTTTGGGAGGCCAAGGTGGGAGGAGCATCTAAAGCCAGGAGTTTGAGACCCACCTGGACAAGAGCAAGACCTCATCTCTACAAAAAATAAAAAAATTAGCTGGGCATGGTGGCACGCACCTATAATCCCAGCTACTCAGGAGGATGAGGCAAAGGGAACCCTTGAGCCCAGGAGTCTGAAGTTGCAGTGAGCTATGATGACACCATTGCACTCTAGCCCAGGCAACAGAGTAAGACCCTATCTAAAAATAAATAAAGAAATAAACTAACTAACTACAAGGAGATCTTGCAACACACATTGAATGCTGGCACACATATAGAAATCCAATGGCCTTTTGTAAAGCCAGACATTTTTAAAAGATCGGCAAAAAAATAAAACAATCATATTCTTCACAATTATTTTTGTTTTGGAAAATACAATTTTTTTAAAATATCATTTGTACTAACATATAATGAATTTATTATGTTATATTTAAGTCAATTAATTATATTTAAAAATTTCTCTATTTTAATTGAAAATATCATTAATAGAAATAACCCATCTAAAAAACATAACAAAACAAAAGCTCTTTGGAGGTCCTCATTGATTCTTGCAGGAGTATAAAAGGATCTTCAAAAACTTTGAGATCTGCTGTTCTAGAAGGATGGCATCTATTTTGTATTCCATGTAGGCTAAGATTTCATCTTGGCTGAGAGGTTAACATTCTTCAGACACATTACAAAAACTGCCATCCAGGGATTGTGGGGAGATCCTCACTCTGGTAATCCGGTTCCCAAATTGACTGTCCTTTGGCAAATAAACACAATGCTGTTCTCTATACTCTTTAGAACTTTTATAAAGAAATTAAAATATAACCACAATTCACAGAAATTGCAATAAAATCCCAACTCCTAACCACAACTGGAATTACTTTCAGCCACATGGCTAAACTTTAGTCTTATCTGATCTAGTTTATTTCGGGGTGTTAATAGCTTCAGTGCAAGTGTTAACTACCAAGCTAACATAAGATTGCTTCTTAGAGCAGTGATTCTCCAGGTGCCCCTTCTTGAGTCCCACCCTAGACCTCCTGATGTAGAATCCCCGGGTTGAATCTAGGAAACCTTCATTTTTAATAAGGACCCCAAGTGATAGGTTGTGCAGCTGAGTTTGGAAATTAAGAGTATCTTGCCTCACCGGAGCTCCAAAATTTACCTGCCCTAATTTACCCTTTTTTTTTTCTTACAAAGCAGCAGCCTTTACAAATCTTTCATAACTCAAATACTTACTTACTTCCAGATACTTACCTCCAGTTTTCCATTCTTACTGTTTCATTTAAGCTTCTGAAATATTTTTAAATACCAGAGGCAGTTGTTTTGCCCCAGTTTTTACTAATTCTCCATTGGATTCCATGTCTCCCAGTGAAAGACACTCTTTGCATGTTGTTTATAAAAGAGATCATTTTGTCACAAAACGACCATAATTTAAACACAGTTAAGTACCAAAATGTTATCAACAATAGGATAATCAGGGTTGTGGGCATCACCACAAACAAGGAAAGGAGGTAGGTGAAGCTCTACCAGAGCTGGAAGCAGTAACCAAGATGGGCAGGAAGAGCTGGGTCAATGAATATTCACTTCCAAATGCTTCCAGGACAGCCCTGGTGGCTTGTCCTGGGATCTCCCCTCCGCTTGGGGAAGAAAGGGAAGACAGGCTCTTAATAGACCTTGGATGTGGACTGTTTCCACAAGAATGAACTTTGGCTCCCTTGCAGCCTGGGGCTTGCAAGTGAGATTAGACTGGAGATCATACTGGGTGTTTTTCTTTCTTTCTTTCTGTTTTGTTTTGCTTTTGTTTTTCATAGTAGACAGGTCCTTAAGAGAGACATAGAGGGGAGCAAAACAGAGCAAGCACACATAAATGTGCAGGGGTAGATGAGTTAGCTTCAGAAGCCTGGATATGATGGTGGTAATAAAGGCCTTTGATTTGTTTTAAATTATTTATACTTGGCTCATTTTTTAAGTAGGCATCTAATTTATAATAGAAACAGAGACTCGAGAAGGAGGCCATCCATTCCTCTCTCCCTGTCAGCGCCGGGTTGTTTCCTGCAGAACATTTTGGAGTGCTCCGTCTTGCAGACACTCTGTCTAAGTCTGTTCCACAGGAGCCTAATGCAGGAGTGGTACTTGATCAACGTGCAGAGCCAGGAGAGCAGCAGCAGCAGCATTAAGAGCCCAAGTAGGCAGAATCCCAAAGACGGGGCTTTACCGCTCGCTCTGAAAGACAACCGCCCATTTGTATTGACTTGCTCTGGGAAAGTATTTCCTGAGACCCTTTCTAAAGTTCCCCCTCTCTTCTCTTTATGCCATTACTAGTAGTTAGGGCTCTTGGCTGTCGTTGATGGAGAGGTGGGGATGCCATCATTTCTAAGTGCCCCTGGAAAGTGCTTACTTGGCGATCCTGGAGACTGAGGGTTTTCGATATCCCCGGAAGAGGCAAAACCTAAGCAATGGCAGCCAGAGTTTTCCACAATGGCTTGCCAACAGGTTTCCAGCTTGCTTTGTATAGCTTATTCTTGACTTTTAGATTTAGGGCCAGGAGAGGGGATTTGGATTGGAAGGTGTGATGGTCCAGCTAGAGAAGCCCAAATTAATTTATCATGAACCAAAGAACAGCCAGACATAATTATCTTGATTGCTTGATGCCTTATTTAACTTCTCCTAGCAACTCTACTGACTGCTCCCAAATACTCATTTGATTTTCAAAAATACCATCAGGTTAAGGTTTGATGTTTTTAACTTCTTCAATGAGAGCTAAAATGCATGAGCATGAATTGGGGAGATGCCTTTAGTAAGAAACCAAAAAAATAATTTATAGAAAAATCCTCTAAGATGTATCTATCCTTCTTCCCTTCTCACATCCCACATTCCTGAGGGGAAATAACAGAGAGGTAGCTACTGAAGCCTATTCAAGATTTATTACAAAATTCTTTGAGACAAAGAAGAGCTGAACATCATAAGAATTGTATCTAATCATATTGAATTCCCTTGAAAACTGCCTCTTGGAAAATTCTGATTCTTCAATTTTCTTCCAATCTCTCCACAACTCAAAACAAGCTTCCTGCTAGAAATAATAGTATTACGTTAAAAGTATAAACAATTATTAAAAATATATAGTCTTAGAAACCATTAAATTAGTTCCTTAAGCAGGTTTATTACTTTTATGCATACTTGCATGAAAATTTATCTTCTACCAATTTGACATAAAATAGCCAAGATCAGATTTATTCATCTTATCAATACCATTATTTTGTACTGTCAGATATTGAGAATAGTATCTGGGTAGCAGGTATAGTTCTTCAAAAAACAGACTCTCCCCTCCTCCCTCCTACCAACTTACCAATGCTGAGCAATTATTTTGTTTGTTGAAAAATAAGCTTAGTCTTATATCAAAGGCTCTGCCGCACCTATAGTGATTTAGATTTCAAATGTGGCTAATTTATAAAACAACCACATTTCACTGTTCACAGCAGGAATCAGGTACTTAATACAAACTCCATTCAGAACAGTGTTTATTTTCTTGGGCCTTTTGCTTTCAGAAAAACCTCTAAGCTAATACTAAGAAATGTTTCCTTTCTTTCAGCCTCTGAAAGCTCAATCACAGAGACTCAGGAGAACAACGTTTTGACTCCATATTGGAGAACCGCAGACCTGGCCAGAATACAGCCACCTGCATTTTGGTTGGCTGAGAGGGCTCTTAGAGACTGACAAGTGGTGCAGTTTATGAGCACTCCAGATTTTCCACCCAATAAACCTACAAGAATAGCAAACCAGGCCCAGGAGACATTGATTGGAAAGCAAGAGTAGGAGAGAGAAAGAATGTGCCCAGTATAATCTGCTATGGGACATTTGTCTCATGAGTGAAACAAAATGGTAGGCATAGTGCATGCTCAAAGAAGGAAAGAAAGGGGAAGCTGGGAATTTTCTAAAAATAATTTTAGCAGAGAGACAGAGTAACAGACAGAGAGACTGAAAGATGGGAACAGGAAATGGTTTGGGAGGAAGAGAGGGTAGAAAATAAGAGGACATGACTGGGTGATTTAGCCATGTTAATCATGTAGCTCTGAGACATTTTTTCTTTTTGAGACAGGGTCTCATTATCACCCAGCCTGGAGTGCAGTGACCAGATCACAGCTCACTGCAGCCTCGAACTCCTGGACTCAGGTGAACCTCCTGCCTCACCCTCCTGAGTAGCTGGGACAATAGGTCAACACCACATACCTGACTGATTTTTCTGGTTTTTGTAGAGCTTATTGTAGTTTTACCTCCTTTTCTTGGTTCATTATTTTCTATTAGAGTGTGGTTTTTTCCTATCCAAAATCTTATGTCTGCCTTGACAGCTTTTTCTTTCATTCCTCAATTAGCACAAGAGTTGGACTTTTCTCACTGAAACCATCACCCATCTGGGGCCAGACACATGACCTCCTAGATCTGAAACAGTTCGAAAACACAATTCCATTTTATTAAATTTTCTAAGAAGAAATTACTTTCCATATTTATATTCATTCCTACATAAAGTTTGGAACCTAGTGTTTCTCTAAAGAAGGAAAAGGATGAAGAGAAAGAGGATGACAAGAAAGAAAAGAAGTAGAAACTAGTATTTCTAGGACTTTGCTTTAAGTGTTAATGTCATTTGAACGAATGGGCTGATAGCTCATGAAGAATGATCCATGCAAAAGTACCTGGATTCAGATTGAGCCTTCAGCTTCAGAAAGCATAAGAACCAGGCAGCATATAGAAATTTTGGTGGGGAGCACACAGACATACTCCTGAAGATGTTAGGGTCACAATGGTTCTGTTCCATCCACCTTTCCTCATTTATCACTCTGTTCAAGAAAAAAAATCCCCGAAAGATGGAATATGGCCCAATTTAGGCCATGGACTTGCCCTTTAGCCAAAGGGCAGGAATAAAAGATGGGACACAAGGGCACTATGATTTACAGCTCCACCAGGACTACAGAGAAGAAGAAAAGAGAGAGAGAACATGAGACAATAAATGCTGAGCTGACAAAATTCACAAATCTCTACTTGACTTTCAGCTCTGAACTCAACCTGTTTGTCTCCAGTTCCTTAAAAAAAATAAACTGATTTATTTATTTTCCAACCAACTCCAAGTGGGATCTAACATATCTAAAATGCACTGGGACTCTTATCTACCTAGTTCTGGCGTATGCTTGAGATTCTATAAACTTTTGGCAGCCACTTTACATTATATGTCTATATGAGTGCAAAGCCAGCAGAAACCACTAAGTCGTTTTCATACAAATTGTATTTAAGTCAAGTTTTACTAACTGTACACTAACTTATGTGTACAACTGATTTTTTAACTTGAATGTAGAATTTCACATTTATACCTACTAAGTTGCATCGTTAATTTCAATATGCCAGGATCTTTTCACAATCTTGATCCTGTCATCTAATAATCTGGCCACTTCTCCAAGCATGGAGCCATCATGTGCAGATTTATAAGCTTCTGTAGCAAGTGGTGGTTTAAGAAAGCTAGGAAGGCAGACAGCCTTTATTTGCATCCACACTTCACCACTTACTAGCTTTGCAAACTTGGGCAAATTTCTTAGTCCTTCTGGGTCTCAGTTTTCTCATTTTTAAATTATGAATAACACTATCTGCCTTGTAGGTCTTTTTTGGTTTTTGTTTTTTTTTTTTTGAGAAGGTTAAATGAACTTACACATGTTAAAAACTAATAGCATTCAATAATTGTTAATCAATATACTATGTCAGAGATGAAAATGTACAGAATAGAATCCTAGCAGAGCCCTTCCTTCCATATGAACACTATCTGCATATCACTAAAAATTATCAACATATCTCTTCCACTTTGTCAACCCAAATCTAAAAACAATATTAATATTTAACTGTGTTCTCCCATATCATTTTAATAGGATGCCATTCTGGGTACCCTATTCCATTGCATCCAAGGCAAACTGTCCAACAGCTGCTTGTAGGATCAAATGTCTTGGACACAAAATTTGAAGACTCTGCTTCCAGTCCTCGCCCTTTGACTCTTAGCTCAGTGACCACAGGCCAGTCATTTAACCTCTGTGCATCTGATTTTCCTCAGCTGAAAAAAACGAACAGTTGGATCAGATTTGACTTCCTTAAAAGTCCTTTAAATCTTCCTCAAACTCCTTCATGTCTAACTCTAGAGCACAATACTCTAAAATTTCTGGAGCTATGTGTTCCTGAGCAGTCGCACTGTCTGGTGTTCTGTGGGGGTTCGCCTTGGCATGGTTCAGCTTTGTGGGCCACTGGTCTCCATCTGGGCATTGTGACTGAGTGGTTCTCAGTGAGGAACGTATACTGTCCCACGGCACTTAGAACAGAGGTGTTAGAGACCCAAGTGTGTTTGCAAACCCCTCGCATGGAAATCAGATTCTTAAACTCTGCCCCAGATTTGCTGAATCCGTATTTCTGGGGATGAGACCCAGGAATTTGTCATTTAATAAACTCCCCAGGTGACAGTCACACACACACCAAAGTTTGAGAACTACTAACCTACACAGGGCTATATATCCTACAGGGAATTCACAGATGCTCGTTGGATGAATGCATTCTCTGCTCATGAAGAGGAAGCCTGCCAGATATGTTGTTAGGAATTGAACACAGTCACCTTTTTTTTTTTTTTTTGTCTGCTTGCTTGCGCAGAGCCACATCAAGTTGACAATGCACAAGTATCCATTCTCTCCTCCGACGCCTCATCTGTGATCTCTTCTGCAGAGGCACTCAAACCGCAGAATCTACTCTTATAAATTAGTGCTGGAAAACACTCTCAAAAATAGTCGGAGATGAACTTACCCATCAGGGATTTCCTAGGTCACTTCTGCATTAGAAAATAGATTATCCTTTTCCCTCTGGCTCCTGATGATACATTAGAGATCCCACAACTAAAGCAAGGCTATTCTTCCAAAACCTCAGCCAAAGCACTCACAGGGCACCATGCAACAGTAAGTCTCCAACACACTGTACATGAAGGTAAGAACTCCAGGGAAGGATGGAGGGCATGAAAGACGAGGCTTCTCCTAGCAGGGAGTCGTTCGTCCAGCAGGAAGACTGCAAGACAACCCTAGAATAACATCATCAAAACCTATGAGTTTTAAAAGTGATACTGCTTACTCCTGCTTTCTTTCCCCCACTCTGGTCATCGTTATCCTGCTTTTACAATCCACACTGACATATGAAGGGATGTGAAGTGTGCTAAGTAAATAGCTTTCAGATGCTACGAATGCTAAGCACTACTATTCTTTTGAGTCTGTTTTGCAGAGAGATGTCATGTTTTCAGAGCTGTCAAAATTACTTCCATCCACACCAAATTCCATTTAAAAATTAGCTTAGTAAAATTTTGTGAGCCTCTCTAAGGGGTAGGAAAAGGCAGAATATTTATATTAATTACTTCTTTTTTAAATTGTTTATTTTTAATTATTATGGGTATATAATAGTTATATATATTTATAGGGTATATGTAATATTTTGATACAGGCATACATTGTATAATAATCAAGTCAGAATAACTGGAGTATCCATCACCTCAAATAGTTATAATTTCTTTGTGTTGGGAACATTCCAATTCTACTCTTTCAGTTATTTTAAAATATAACACAACTATTCCTTAATGCAGTCTTCTTTCTGCCTACAGTTAAGAAAGCTGGCTAAGAGGCAATGAAAGAAGGCTGAACTCAAGACATTTTCTTTTACTTACTTTTTAAATCATGCTGATTAATCTTTGCCAACACCCCCAAGTTCTTGAATGGCTTTTCACAAGGCATATTGTGTGTTCTCTACCGAAATTCTGTTTCTTTGCCAGCATGTAGTCATGCTGCTGAAGAACAAAAAGGAGTTTTTTAGAACATTTGCGTAGTGGAACTTTGACTCCATACATTAATTAGTGTAGAGAGTTGAAATAATTGGATGGATTGCCAAGTCTTAATTATTATATTTTAGAAAATTAGTATTAATTATGTAATTAATAATTAATGTTTTATCTAATATGTAGATATTATTATTATATTTATAAAATTAATTACTATATTTTAGAAAATATTTAGTTTTATTGCTTTCAAGTAGATATAATAACTATATTTAACACCTAGACATATTTTAATGAGTGGATGATAGATTTTCATCACATCTCCCTTTCTTCTGAAAGCTGTTTGTATTTTTTTTTCTATTTTTTATTTCAGCATATTATGGGGATACAAACGTTAAGGTTACATACATTGCACTTGTCTCCCCTCCCTCCCGTCGAGGCAGAGCTTCAAGCGTGTCCATCCCCCAGACGGTGTGCATCACACTCACTATGTATGTATACGCCCATCCCCTCCTCCCCCCTGCCCCACACCCGACAAATGTTTGTTTTTCTTTTTTTCTTAACATTTTGGTTACATTTTATATCTTTGCCTCTCCCTACAAGGGTTAGAGGTATGCTCTTCCCCTCCACAATGTTCACCACATCCCTCAGATGTGGGACTACCCCTCCAAAAGAGTTTTAAATACAACTCTCTGATCCTATTTATACTATCAATATTCTCACCAAACATTTCATTCATTGTTAATATAAAGATAAATTTAACTTCACGTATAATTATAAGTTCCAATAATTAGAGGAAATTTTTGAGAGAAATTTAGGAGATTTCTGAGACTTATTGTCTGTCTGAGGATAAAGATTCTCACAATAAATTATTATGTAAAATGTGCCAAAATACTTAGATTTAGAGTCTTAAAAAAATGCAGAGATAGAAAGAAACTTAGGAATCCACTAAATGATTGTTTCTTCACAAATGAGAAAGAAGAAGCTCAGAGAGGTGAATCTGAATATACAAAGTATAATCGTTAGGTTCCAAGGGACAGAGTCCCAAAGGCAACTAGGTAAGGGTGCTGCTTAGCATTGAAAGAAACTCCAGGGGTGACCAACTCCAGACCTAGTGGGATCCAAGAACTCAAATATTTGTCACACAGCTCATTCTCTCTGAGCTTTCCTCAGGCCTGCCTCCTCTGGGTTGGCTTTATGTGACAAAGATGGAGACTAGCAGCTACCAATTTAGATTATCATCTCCATTCATAATCCCAATAAAAAGCAAATGCCTGTGTCCTGATAGTTCCAGCAAAATCCCAGGGAAGACACTAACTGGCCTGAATTGGCACGAAGGTCATTCATCCTTGAGCCAATCCCTAAAGCCAGGGAGGTCAGATGCTAACTCAGCTGCTGTAGGTTTACAGCCCAATCAGGTGTGTGTATGGGTGGGGGATGGAGACAGCTCCCAGGGGAAAAAATGTGCTGAGCAGATAAAAAGTAAAGAAGGCTCACAACCACAGTCACACGGTGAGACAGTGGCAGTCAACAACACAGCTAGAGTCCCTGACTCCTGGTCTGGTGTTTCCTTCCAGAGTTAGCTTTTGTTTTACTTTTGTTTTGCTCCGCTTTGCTTTAATTTTCAAGCCCATTTAGTGACTTGTTTCCTTTTGGCATAATTTAAGAACAGGGAGAGGGAGAAAATCATAAATAATGTCATCTTGTACCTAGTAATATTTCCTATTTTTCTTCCAAAAGTGTCAAATTGCATCTCTGTCTGAGCCCTGCATACATATATGCCTCTTTGTCTATGGAATTCCTCACTGATGAGACATTCAAGAGATTCTTAATGTTTTGTTTTGTTTTTTTTTCCCCCAGTTTCCAACATATGGTCCAACATGTGGCCAAGGAAATGCTGAGAGTGTCTGGTTCCTTCACTCTGGCCAGCTGCCCAAAGGAGGAAGAAACACTGATATGTGTCCCAAGTGACCCAAACCTTTAGAACCTTTTAACTCTTCTTCCAAGAGCCTCGTGCAAGGGTCCAGATTTGCCCTAAATGAGCCTGTTTGAAAAGAGCCACCTCCATGATCTTGCTGGTTTTCCCTGAGGCTGGTGCACCATCTATTCACTAAGAGTAAGAGGGAGTAAGTGCACTCCATCAGCCTTCTTCCCTTTTCTATCAAATGTAAGTGGTGTTATAATATTGATATGATCAAGACTAATGAGCCATTAATTCTAATTCAAAAAAAAATGAGGTAACTGAACATGATCTTTTACAGCGCATTGATCTGATACTCCAGATGAAGGCAAGGTTACATTTCCTCTTGGAAATATGCCTGTTCTTCACAAGCAATTTTAAAATGCTCCCCATATGGATGTGCTCTTCTGTGTGCCAAAAATAAATCTAATAGAAGGAGACAAATATAATGTCTGAGGAGAAAATATGTCCACATTTTAACATTTCTTCATCCTTCTCCTTCCTCTAAGGCTCAGGCCTGGCGGCAAGTCATTTTGTAGGTCACCAAAATGTGCTTGAGAGAAGCACTAATTTCTTAATGAATGCAAGTATATGCAAAGGTCAGAGAATGTGTACATCTGTTATCTCTTCCCCCATATATACAATAGTGAACATCCAGAGAATTGAGTTTTAATTAGTGGCCATAAATACCATTTGGGGGCTAACTTCAGATGCATGTGATTTAGGGTAGAGTTGACAATAAAGACATTTTATTCTGCCATGTTTAAGAGGTAACACCTGTAATCCCAGAACTTTGGGAGGCTGAGGCAGGAGGACTGCTTGAGGCCAGGAGTTTGAGACCAGCCTGGGCAACATAGTGAGACACCCCTACCCCATCCCTGCAAAGAATAGAGCTAACTTATTATGTTAATTTGAGTCCACAAAAAAGATTTGAGGTATGTTTCAGATTACTTGGGTACATTTTAAGAAGATTTGGGGTGGATTTTTCCGTAAAACACTTTGTGATTCCTTTGAAGGAACTAGTCAGCAACACATGTTATTATTCAAAAACAACCCTATATTCTTAGAAACAAACAAAAAACAAAATACCAGGTATCATATTGGAGATATTTGTTCTAGGGACTAAGATAAATAGAATGCTGAATGCTAGTCCTATAAAAACCTATTTTAAGTGACAGTCATATTCTGGTCTCCAGGGCATTTTGATAAAACTACCTTTGCACATAATTGAATAACAACTTGAATATGTACACACTAAATTGTGTTAGCCCAAAATTAATAGGTTAAAGTCCTAACCCAAGGTAGCTTAGAATTTGACTATATTTGGAGATAGTGTCTTCGAAGAGGTAATTGAGTTAAAATGAGGTCATTAGCATGGACCCTAACCAAATATGACTGGTGCTCTTGTAAGAAGAGGAGATTAAAACACAAACATGCTCAGAGGGAAGACCATGAGAAGAGAAGAAGATTTAGGGAGAAGGCAGCCATCTACAAATCAAAAAGAGAGAGTGCTCAGAAGAAGCCAATCCTGGTGACACCTTGATCTTGGACTTCAAGCCTCCAAAACTGTGAGAAAATAAATTTCTGTTATTTAAACCACCCCGTCTGTGGTAGTTTGTTATGGCACTAACAAATTAATATATATACCATCTGAACAACTTTAATAGGGCCCTAATTCGCTTAGTGATTATTTTCAGAAAGTGGGTATAACATTTTAAAAGAACCCAAAATTAATTATGCCAAGAATACAATGATTAGAATTATCCCTAAGAGAGGAAGAATTCAGTCTTCAAATGTTAATTCTACTTTGGGGAGGAAAAAAGTCATTTAAAATATCCAACAGAAATGAATCACCCATGAATGTTTAAAAGGGGATTTTAGAAGACCAGAACATTCAGTAATTTGAATATGTACCATAAACTAGTGCTGGGAGAATCTAATTAAAAACAAAATATCCCAGTCCAGAAATCCTCTCCACAAATAGAGGAGAGAAAAAAAACAAAACAAAACAAAACACCAGTTATTATTGAATGTACTATTGCAAAAGTATTAAACCAAAATGTGATGCACATCACAGGCAATCAATCCATTAAGAGATTGCAAAGACAGAAAAAAATGTCATCTTTTATATAACCAAGCAGATGCAACCCATTACATACATGTTATCAAGATAAACAATAACTAGTCCTCAAGAAAGAGGATTTGACAGCTTATTCTAACTTTACCTGGTAATTATGGTAACCCTCTGTGTTAGCTAATTGACTTTATCCAGAGGAAAAACAACTTTCTCCTATCTTTATCACAGAAGGTAGTTTTGCAACTTGGAGCAAGATTCCACCACCACACCACACCCCCTCTCTACTTCCCCTTTCCCCCAATGAGGCTTCTACTCAGTTTTTGGGAGCATTTCTTCTATTTTATGAAATGAAGTATTGCTTGATTCTAGAATTACAATAAAGCCAAATGAGATCTCTCCTGCAGAAACTGGAGATGGGGTGCTATCTCCCTTGATGTTTACATTTCAAAGGATGGCTCCAGGGTCCTGAGAAAGACATTCCCAGGTCAAAAAAGCTGACAAAATGCCAATCTAGTCTTCAGAAGGATTTATATACATTTCAAAGAGGAGTCAAGTATGTACAATTACAAGTTTTCTAAAGTAAATACTCAAAAGGGATAGAAATTTTCCCCTTTATTTTTAAGAGAGACAATTAAGCCTCTTATTTTAATTTGTAGTTGTCCTTACACTGTCATTTGACAGTTAAATCAGAAATAATTCATGTTTTCACTGACTCCCAGAAAGCACAATTCTTAATTCATAGAAATATTCAAACCCTTAATTAAAAATTTCTCTGTGTATGTAGCTACCATCTTTCAAGTCTAACTCAAGCTTCAGCCTCAGGACTCCATAATTGAAAGTGCAAGGCAATCAACTTCAAAGCCAAAGAAGACACGTTATGGCAGAATTATTTTTACTCCTGGATTCTACTAGTTCAAAAATGTTGTATTAACAACATAGTAGAAGAGACATTCTGGTTCCATTTATAAAAGGCCA